AAAGAAAGAAAGAAAGAAAGAAAGAAAGAAAGAAAGAAAGAAAGAAAAAAGAAAGAAAGAAAGAAAGAAACATTCACTACTACATTAATGGTCAAAGGATATGAACAGGCAGTTTTCAGCAGAAGAAATCAAAGCTATCAATAGTCACATAAAAATGCTCTAAATCACTGTTGATTAGGGGAATGGAAATTAAAGCAACTCTGAGATACCACCTTACACCTATAAGATTGACTGATATGACAGAAGAGGAAAATTACAAATGCTGGAGGGGATGTGGAAAAATTGGGACATTGATGCACTGTTGGTAGAGTTATGAACTAGTTCAATCATTCCGGAGAACAATTGGAAACGATGCCCGAAGGGCTATAAAACTGTTCATACCCTTTGATTCAGCAATACCACTACTAGGTCTATATCCCAAAGAGATCAAAGAAAAGAGAAAAGAATCTATTTGCACAAAAATATATATAGCAGCTCTTTTTTGTGGTGCCACAAAATTGGAAATTGAGGGGATGCCAATCAATTGGAGAATAACTGAACAAGTTTTAGTATATTACTGTGATGAAATACTATTGTGCTGTAAGAAATGAGGAACAGGATAGTTTCAAAGAAACCTGGGAAGACTTATATGAACTCATGCAAAGTGAAGTGAGCACAACCAAGAGAACACTGTACACAGTAACAGCAATATTTTAAAGATGATCAACAATAAAAGACTTAGCTAACTCTGATCAAGACAATGATCCAAGACAATTCCAAAGGATCCATGATGAAAAATGCTACCTACCGGGCAGGTAGGTGGCGCAGTGAATGACGCACTGGCCCTGGAGTCAGGAGGACCTGAGTTCAAATCTGACCTCAGATACTTACTAGCTGTGTGACCCTGGGCAAGTCACTTAACCCCAATTGCCTCACCAAAAAAAAAAAAGAAAAAGAAAAAATTGCTATCCATCTTCAGGGAGAGAACTGATGAACTCTGTATGCAGATTGAAGCATACTTTTTTATTTTTATTATTTTATATTGTTTGTGTTTTCTTTTGTACCATGGCTAATCTGGAAATATGTTTTGCATGACTTCATATATATAATAGATAGCAAATTTATTGCATTCTCAAATAGGGGAGAGGGACAGGAGGGAGAGAATTTGCAATTCAAAAAAAATTAAGTGATTGTTAACATTTTTATATGTCATTGGAAAATATTTAATGAAATAATCAAATTAATTTTAAAAAATAAAAATAAATAAATTGTATATGAAGTTTCCCCTCAAGTACTAGGGTTGTTAACATGAACTGCATATTTTTGAGGAAGATGGTATCATGTCCTAGGCTCCTACCTCATGCTTAGTCTTCCCACACACACCCCCAACTGTACACACAGTATTGATATTCTACCAGTCATTTCTTATAAAGTTTAATCAGCTGAGTCAGATAGATTATTTAGAGTTCTTGACCCTTAAGCAGTACTACAGAATACTTAGAAACAGCCAATATTACTTACCTAGAGAAATTACCCTAAAAGGTAGGACAAATTTATGTATCCTTGGATTTTTTCCCCCACAGTATAATTTATTTGTTGTAGTAATTATTGCTTTTTTTTTTTTTGCTTTTAAGCCAGCAATGCCAGCAGCACAGAAGGTAGAGAAGTTTTTTTGAAGTTCTCTTGGGTCCCCTACTCTTTTCTGATTCATCCTGTTAATATAAAAACACTCCCTTTGTAGTATAAAGAACATTCTGATTAAAAACCTGGTCTAATCTGTGTCTAAAAATAAGTTGACTCTCTAAGTCTAGTGAATACAGGATAAACCTGGATTTAAAGAAAAGGTCTATAATACCAAGGCAAGGAAAATGTAAATGCATAGAATTGTTTGAGATTTTTGTTCTACTTTGGTTTAAGACACTTGAAGAGCAGAACTTGAGCTACTTAACAATTTGCTTGAAAATCTATTTTGTAGCTTCCCTATGAAGATCGCTGTCAAAATCCTCATTATTTAGATAGGATAAGCACAACTGGATAGGTTACCTCCTCCTTGATTGTGAATGAAATTCTCAATTCTCAGGCTGCTCTTGGTGGCTTACATTCCCTCATCCATTGTAACATCAGCCTTGGTCATAGTTAACAATCTATAATTGACAAACTAGAATGATTTTCTGATTGACAACAAACTCAATTGATTCCCTGTATGGAAGAAAAAATTACATGGCATGCAGTGATGTCTGAGTCAAATATTGAATAAACTGAGTTCATTCCCCAAAGTCGTTAGAATTTCTCCCCCATGCCAAGTCCAGAGGTGTGAAACTGGCTGATTTGCCTGTTTGTTTTTCTTTTCCTGTTAGTTTTCTGAAATAGCCAAGTGGACACTGATGCAAGATGCTATGTACAACTAAAAAACCTGTGAACTGATGCCATAAACCTAATATCAGCATGGTTTTTAACTGGTGGACATTGATGCTCCAAGCCTTTCAGAAAACTTGGTTCTAATAGGTAATCAAAAAAAATAAGAATTTGCTCAGTTCCCACTTAGTTTTGGGGGTTGTTTTGTTCTTGTTTTCAATCACAGGCACACCAGTATTCCAACTGAACTTAAAAGTAGTCTTTGTAGAGAGGAGAAATAAGTTTATAATCCAATGCAGCTTCTATCAGGAGTTCTGTTGTGGGAAAGAATGAGGCTGTCACTGATCTTGTTCCTTTTAAAATTCAACAAAGAGCTTTTTGAAGAATATAAATATTGCTTACGAAACAGAGGAGACAGGCTATCTATTATGGACTGTGAGATCTAAATCTGCTCAAAAATTACAATGTGATTTCAGTTTGTTGAGTCTTTCATAGACACTGCATTCCTGAATGCTTTGATATTGCTATAAGTAATACAATTATGATATTAAGTAGCAAATAATGGGATAAAGGGAGGAAGGTGTTAATGAATACAGACTCAGGAGTACATGTTTCCAGGAGGAAATCATAACCTTTGAATGGAGATGGCTTATGAAAATCTGTATACTTTGCTCTGCTGCCTAAGGAGTTCAACTTTTACAACTTGAATTAAGCTTCTTGAAAATTTCATATGACTTGTTTTTCAAATTGTTTATAAAATAACATTTCCCCCCTCCACATCCACCCACCTACCCCCAACCACTATCACCACTCTCCTCTTCACATTACTTGTGGGGTATATGGGGTGTTTGAAAAGGACTAGCACCTTTGATGTGAGGGCTTGCTGAGCCCTCCTACTCATCCACCTTTGATGTCTACCTGGCACTCATCTCTTGCTTGTGGCTCCAAAAAGCTACAGCTTTTTGCTGCATGTGCAGCAGCACGTGCTGCTTTCCCCAGTAAAAACCATCTCAGTATACAAGCTAAACCAGGTTGAGAGTAATTGATGGGTCTCAAACTCATCGGTGAGTTAAAGGGATGCCTACCCCAAGCATATGAAGACTTCCCCTGACGTAATGAGTGGATGAGAACACTTTGTTCCAATGGCCACTAAGGCAGCCGAAGCAGGCTCTATGGAGCATTTAGAGTTTGGTCAGACATTGAAGATGCCAAGGTCATCTACTGCATCCCAGGCCATCACCAGTCATCCTGGCTTTTGTCCTGCCACCAGACTTCAATGACTGGAAGAGGGAGCGAGGCTGATGACTTGTACAATTCTGCCTCACTTGAAATCTAATTCACCATGAATCAAGACATTACCCCATGATGTCCTCTTCAAAAATGCAGGACAAACAACTCTGTAAAGCAAGAAGCTTAGAGATCTTGGATATGAAATGTTCCTCTTCTTTTTTACAAAGTTGTGTTCTTTCCCAGTTAGGTATGCACAAATCTAGATGCTTATCTGATTCAAAGTATTATAGGGTTGGTGAGTCAAACACGATTATATTTTATGAAGCATCTTGCCTGCCTCTATTGCCTGTAATGTTTAACCATCAGTCAATGAAATTTCATCTCTGCAGAAGAAGGCATATATTATTTATCCTCAACAGTATACAAACTCTTGTTTCAACTTAGTACCCTTGAAAAGTGATGGATTAACAGTCCTAAAACCACTGTTTATTGTCTGGAGCAAATTTTAATCTTAGTCTATGAATGAAGTTTCTTCTTGAGAAACTACTTGGAATTGTATAGACCCCAATTCATTTAGACTTCTACTAGCAAAATTTTTAGATTAGGATGTTAGATGTGGGCCAATTGTGAGTCATTTGTATGTCTCTTCCCATAGAACTGGCCAATCTAAACACCTTGACTTAGTAACTTTCTGGTCAATAGCTTTCAAAAAAGAATGTCTTTGAAATCTTAAATCACATTTTAGAGATGAAAACATTTTCTTGTTATTGATCTCCTAGAGTTACTGAGTCCCCTGTGTTGATTAATAAGCACTTACATAGCATTTAATGTTCTTTTCAAGGAACTACTTAGTAATTTTTCTTACAGTTCATCCATACAGCAGTAGTCCACAACTCTGAGTCTAAAAGAAAATGGGGTCAATAATGCAAAAGAAATCTGAATAATAAGCAGGTAATTTTACTTAATGAAAATATATGTATCTTGTAGCTTTAGTTGTAAGGTTCCATCTATTGGTGATTACCTGCCCCATCCCTGGTTACCTGTACCCCACCTCCAATTACGTTGTATAGTCCTAAATGTGTCTGTAGAATCGTAGATTATAAAATTGAAAGGGAACTCAGAGGTCACCTAAAGACCTCATTTTTCAGATGAAAAAACTGAAGCCCATGGAGGTTGAGACTTCCCCAAGGTCACTTAAGCAGTAAACATCAGAGGAAGGATTTGAACCCAGATTCTGTGACTCCGAAGCTAGTGCTTGTACCATTGTGCTATGATGTAACTCTATACACACTCCCTTCTTTTCTTACTATCATCCCATCCCCAAGAAAATAAACTCTTTAAAAACTTAGATTGCAACACTGGCCTGCTTGCCAGTTCTTTGAACATGACTCCTGTTTTCCATTCTCCATGCCTTTATGCTAACTGTCCCCCATGCCTAGATTGTTCTGACCTCTTGCCTCTGCTTCTTCATTTCTTCCTTCAAAAATTCAGCTCAACTTCTACCTATTCCAAAAGTCTTTTCCTGGTTCCTTTCCCCACCTCCAGCTACTCTACTTAGAGTGCCTCCCAATTACTGTGTATGGGGTGTTCAGGAGGACTAGCACCTCTGGCATGAGGGCTTGCTGAGCCCTTTCCAGGGCTGCTCATCCACCTTTGGTGTCCACCTTCACTCAACTCTCACCTGTAGCTCCAAGAAGCTACAGCATGTGCAGCAGCCACACCCTAGTAAAACCATCTTGGCAGATGGGCTAAACCAGGTTATGGGTAACCAACCAGTCTCAAACCCATCGGTGAGTTGGCTGTGAGAGGTGTCTACCCCAAGCATAGGATGACATTCCTTGGGTATAATGAGTGGATGAGAATGATTTATTCCAACGGCCACTAAGACAGGTGAAGCAGGCACTGTGGAGCACTTAGAGCTTGGTCAGAAGATGCCAATGCCAAGGTCATCCACTGCATTCCAGGCCATCACCAGTCATCTTGACTTTTGTCCTGCTACTGGACTTCAGTGACTCTGGAAGAAAGAGAGAGTGAAGCTGATGACTTCGTACAACTCTGCCTCATTTTAAATCCAATTCACCCACCAGTCAAGACATCTCCCCATAACATCATTGGTCCTCTATAAAAATGAAGGATGAAAAACAACATGCATCTAATTGTTTACAGATTGTCTCTCCAATTGGAAGGTAAGCTTTTTGATGGCAGGAATCATCTTTTCTTTTTTTAACTTTCTTTGTATCCTCAGTGCCTAGCACAGAGTAAGTGCTTAATAAATGCTTTTTGGCCTTGACTGATTATTAGCACATGCTTAGCTCATCTGAAAATTCAAATTTAATCTTAGTAAGTACCTTCTACATGCAAGACACTTTGCTAGATGCTGAGGAGACAAAAATTTAAAGTGGTATGCAATAGATTCTTTAAAAGTTTTGTAGGTCAACATTTTTCCTTCATTTTGATCGATTTGCAAGGCTACAGAACCTGAAAGTCAAGGCTATATTTATCCCCATTTTTTAGATGAACATTAAGGCATAAATTCTCCAGGTTACAGGGTTGGTACTTCCAGAAGACTTGTGAATTAGGAGCCCTTGGGAATCTTTTCCCTTGGCTGTCTCATATACTGACATCCCTGTTCTGCTTCTACTGTCTATCAAAGTCCATGTTTCATGGGTCATTTAGTAGGGCAGCAAGGTGGTGCAATGGAGAAAGGACCAGGCCTGGAGTCAGGAAGACTCATCTTTATGAGTTCAAATCGGGCCTCAGACGCTTACTAGCTGTATGACCCAGGGCAAGCCTCTTAATACTGTTTGCCTCAGTTTCCTCATCTGTAAAATGAGCTGGAGAAGGAAATGGCAAACCACTCCAGTACCTTTGCCAAGAAAACCCCAAATGAGGTCACAAAGAGTTGGACATGACTGAAAAATAGCTGAACAACAACAAAAAGTAGTGTTTATTGTTGTTGAGTCATTTTAGGCATATCCAACTCTTTATGGAACTTTTTTGGCACATTTCACCTGACACCAAACATAGAGTGCTTTCCACTACACTGTGCTAGTCAATGTGTCCCAAGATACTCCTAATTTTATGCAGTTTTAGACATAGCATTAGTAATCACTCCTTTATCAGATTTGATGGTCTGGCTTACAATTTTAACATAGATGTGCAAAACTTAAGAAACCTGGGGGGGCAGCTAGGTGGCACTGTGGGTAGAGCACTGGCCCAGGAGTCAGGAGGATCTGAGTTCAAATCCAGTGTCAGACACATAACACTCACTAGCTGTGTGACTCAGGGCAGGTCACTTAACCCCAATTGCCTCACCAAAAAAAAAAAAAAACTTAAACCCAAATATGGAAGGGTGTTCACTTTTAGGGTGCACTCCACCTACATTCACAAAGTCTTGTTACTTGTCTTTGTAAGAAACGGAGCCAACCTGTCCCATCTAAATGCAGCACTAATCAATCAATGAACAAGTGGTTATTAAGCATTTACTGTGTGGTAGGCACTGGGGATAATTAAAAGCAAAAAGTAGCCCCTGTTCTCAAAGAGGTCACATTCTGATCATAGGAGACACATACATATAAATAAGTACATATGAGATACAGAATGGATGGAAAGTAAGGGGAAGGCTCCAGCAGCTGTGGGTGGGGATGGGGAAGGAGAGGTGAAAAACCAAGAAAACCTTCCAGCAGAAGATGGTATTTGAGTTGTCTCGGAGGAAGCCAGGAGTTCTAAGAGGCAGAAATAATAATAATAACAATAGCATTGATATAGTGATTTAAGGTTTACAAATCACTTCACGCAAGTTACTTCACTTATTCTTCACCACAACCCTGTAAGATATAGTGAGGTAGGTGCCAGTACTATCTACGTGCTAATACTATCCCCATTTTACAGATGAAGAGACTGAGGCTGAGACATTAAGTGACTTGCCCCTGGTCTCACAACTATGTCTGTGATAAGATTCAAACTCAGGTCTTTCTGACTCCAAATCACCTACTATCCACTATGCTGTCTCCAGCAAGGTGAAATGGAAGAGCAATTCAGGCATGGTATTTGCTAGTGGAAAGGCATGGAGATGGGAGATGGGGTGTTGTATGTAAGGAACAGCAAGTAAACCAGTATGGCTTAACTGTAGAGACAACTACAGAGGTGAGTAACATGTAAGAATATTTGAAAAGTAGAAAGGAACCAGGTTGTGAAGAGCTTTAAATGCCCAACAAAACAGTTTATATTTGATTCTGCAGGTAGTAGGGAGCTACTGCAGCTTATTGAGAGGAGTGTGTGTGACACTGATAAGTCCTTAACTTCAGGAAAATAATTCTACAGCTGTAAGACAGACAGATGGCAGTGGGGAGAGATTTGACAGAGGGACTAGTCCAGGTAAAAAGTGATGAGGGTCTGAACTAGAGTAGGGGCTGTGAGTAGAGAGAAAAGGAAATAGGTGAAATGTAGAGATTGATGCGACAAGATGTGGCAATTGATTAGATATATAGATGGGGAGTGTGGAGTCGAGGATTACACCAAGAATGTGACCTCGACAGTCATAGGGATGTTCAAGAGAAGGGTGGGCTTAAGAGAAAGATAAAAGGACATTTTGGGACATGTTGAATTTAAGCTACCTAGAAGATATCCCAGTTGAAATATCCAATAAGCAGCTAGTGATGTGGGACTGGAGCTCAGGAGAGAGATCAAGGTTAGCTCTATGCCTGTGTTTCTGCTGCTTTTTTCCCCCTTATAAGTGCTACCAGAAATCTGTGCTTACCTCACATCACCACTCAAATAGGATGTTTCTTCATTCTAAAGATGAGAGATTTTGTCACTTGCCCTGGGCACATAGATGATTTTATCTGAATTAGGAATAATTACAAGAGAACATTTTTTAAAAGTCAATGAGAAATGTACTATTTTTTTACTTTTTTGTGTTTTTTTCTTTCGGTTTGTGTTTTCTTTCACAACATGACTAATATAGAAATATGTTTTGCATGATTGCACATGTACCAACCTGTATCAAATTGCTTACAATCTCAGGGAGGGGGGAGCAGTTGGATGGAGGGAGAAAATTTGGAACTTGAAATTTTTTTTAAATGAATGTTCTTAAAAAAAGTCTTTACATGTAATTGGGACAAATAAGATATTATTTTAAAAATTAAAAAAGAAAACTTTTAAAAATAAAGTCTAGGAGATGGTGAGTTAGATCAGCCTCTTTTCAAACTCACTGCTTATATTGATCCCTAAAGAAATTCTGACTTAGGATTTCCATCCAATTTATTTCACTGTTAATGATAATGGCTCACATTTCCATGGCATTTTAAGGTTTTACAAAGCACAGTCCTCACAACTCTGAGGGGTAGGTAGTATTCTCCCTATCGTATTGATGAAGAAATTGAGACTCAGAAGGTTTGTTGACTTGTCTCTGGTCTAAAGACTAGTAAGTATCAATACCAAAATTTAAATCTCTAGGTCCTCAACTTCACAGAACAGATTTGTTCTGTAAAACTTGGACTCGGTCAAAAGGCTGCAGGTTCCCCACTCCTGCGTCTAGTCTTATGTCTCCAAGGGCAGGCATGTATCCTCTAGACTAGATTGCATCCTATGATGCCCATGATGTAGTATATAGAGTGCTGGGCCTAGAGTCAGGAAGACTCATCTTCATGAGTTCAAATCTGGCCTCAGACACTTACTAGCTATGTGACCCTGGGCAACCTGTTTGCCTCGGTCTCCTCATCTGTAAAATGGTCTGGAGAAGGAAATGGCAAACCATTCCAGTTTCTTTGTCAAGAAAATGGGGTCACAAATGGGGTCACAAAGAGTCAGACATAACTGAAAAAAAACTGAACAACAACAACAATGAAGTTGAGTTTCCTAGAAGTCCAGAATGTTTAATCTACTTTGGAGAAATAAGACTATGGCAATAACTAAGCTACTCAGTGTTGTTCTTGTTGCTGCTGCTGTTGTTTTTAATGGAACTAATTTATTTGTAGCAAGATGGTTCTGTCAACTACAGGCCTGAAAACTAAAGGTGGGGTAGGGATAAATCCAGATAAATTCAGGATTTTGGTTCAACTTTAAACAGCATTTAAAAAAACCCCAACAACCCTTCAGCATCTGTGTGGTGTGCCAGCCCTTAAGGAAATGTCACCTGGGATTCACAAGTACATCTCCAACAGCATCAGGGTTAAAGAGAATGAAATGAAGCTACATTGGCAATACAACGTCTAAGTATTTTAGAAACACAAAGTAAACTGTCACTTAAAACTCCCATATCCCCATCAAATTAATCAAAATGGCACTTTGCACCCAAGTATTACTCTTATACAATTGAAATGGAAAATCTGGCCCTTAGAAGAATTTGGAATTCATAGTAAAATTTGCATTGATTTGCTAAATAACTTTTTGATGTTGATAGCAAGGCTTTCGTTTTAAATCATGGACATTCAGAATGAAGAATGAGTTCCTCCTTATAGCTGTGTGTCTAAATAATAACTCATCCTTTCCCTTCTCATACCCTAAATGTCTAGTGAATGGATCACTTTTCAAATTTGAGTCTGCATGTTATCACTTTGTTGGCAATGCCCATACTGACATATGTTCATGTGTGTGCTAACTTTAAACATTCATTCAATCCAATAAACATTCATTAAGCACCTACTGTGTGACTAGAAAGTAGACACTTCACCACATGTCTCCAGTTAATGGCAAAAACAAAAAAAACAAAAACCCAGTACTTTTTTTTTTTTAACGCAGAAACCATGCAGTCAGTGTTACCTGTAAACTATTCCTTCTTACCAGAGCTGGTGGCTCAGAAAAAAAGGTAAGAAATGAAACCTAGAAAAGTTCGGGAAAGAACCGTATTGATTTCTTTAGCTACTTTACATATACCTACAAAAAAATCGCATGGTCTATACATGGCAGTAGTTCAGAGAAATAGAAAAAAAGGCTCAAAAATCAACTTCTTTTAAATTTGGGGGGCAGCAACTAAGTTTTGTGTTTTCCTCCCATGCTCATTGATGCTAATTCTGTAACTCTATCTAGTTGGCTTTTTTTGGGTACAAAGGTCTAGGGGCTGGGGAGGGAGGGGGTCTTTTGTGTTTTCCAGTGCAAAGTGATTCTGATCAAAAAAGGCCAAGGTTTCAGCTCCAAGTACCTGACATTTCCATCTGAATCTACTTTAAAAAAAAAAAAAAGGTTTAGTTTTTCAGGAAAAGAACCCCTTTACGCAATCCTGAAACTGATCTTTAGATTTACTTTTCCTTAATCAATAGAAAAAAACGTGATTGCAATTCAACACTTATCTGCCTCTAGCACAAGGCAAACTGAATTTTTGGTTTCGTGAGCAAGTCAGAGATTCAGACATCATTTCAGTAATCAGAAATAATTGGCATCAAATAGGGGAGAGCTGACATGAATTCCTGTTTTACTTAATTTTTTCCTGGTTTACCAAGATTTGGTTTAATATTTCTGACTCAATTCCTCCAGCCTCTACAGAACAGGTTAGTGCCACTTTTTCTGTCTTCTACTCAGAAATGTGACTATAACATGAATCATGATTGGTATTCCCTAAGCCTGTGCCTCATCTCCCTTTGTTTTGGGTTTGTGTGTACTCTTTGCTCAAGTCCTAGTACCAGTTCCAGCCAAAGTGACTGTTTAAGATAAGCTTGAATTAGGAGCATATGTGTGCTTGGTAGTTTTGGGAAATAGACCACAGAGCCCTTTCTCATAGATTGGACCCACTGCTTGCCCATGAACATTGGGCTAGACTAGCACTATGAACTGTATGCTATGATGCATCAAAATCATAGTTTTCCTGCAAGGTTGTTTTGAACAGATTCCACTACATATGCATGTACTTAAATTCTTATAGATGTGTATGCATACAACTAAGGCTGGGCATCTGTGTTGGCACCACAATATAGTACAAACTCCCATAAGCTCAATATATCCTCACTATAATGTAGAGGAAATTTCTTGGCATTAAATAAATGGGAACAAAAGTGAACACAAATGAGTTTGCTTTCCATTGATCGTCCTTGGATTCATTTAGTGGTATTAGTTCTATTACAATAAAATGTACATTTAGATCAGACTCCACTTTTTATATTTTATAAGGCAAGGTCCTGATTTTCCCTCCATATGCACCTTCCCCTCCCATTATGTGCACACACACACACACACACACACACACACGCGTGCACGTGAGCACACATACACACACATTATCACAATATAATATTGATTTCTCAATAGAAAAGAAATAGACATAGGTGTGTACTGCCTTTGTCCCTGAGCAAAAATTCTAAATTGATTCCATGCTGCAGAGAAATTGAATGATAAACATACAATCTTTCTGACTAGAGAAGCCCGTCTCATTTTAATTGTCTTTTAGTCTATCATAATGGAAAACTATTCATTCTAAAACAGTGTTGTTCACAGAGGATCAGCAGAGAGTTTTTATTCTTGGGATTAAAGAAGGATGTGGGTTTCTCTCATCAGGTGCTATTTATTAATAATGTATTTGCATTGAAGATTCCTTTTCTGCTTTTCTTGGAGCATTCATTGATTCTATAACCTACTTGACAATTTACTCTTAGGACTAGAATGATCTTATTACACTTTCAAATTAGGTTCTTGTCATGGGGGGAAAGGGGGAGTTCTAATTCATTAGTAAAGTGTTGAACTTACAGGGACCTGCCACCTTTCCTGAAATTTTAACCTGATTTATAATGGTAGATGTGGTTATGTGAAGCTTTTACATGGTGGTTTTGACATGCCTAGGGATATGCCAGTAAGCGCATCTGGTACTCTATTTACTGGGGTCCGATGGGTACTTTTTTCTTTTTCTTTTTAAAATTCTAGGATGAATTATTCATCATTACTTAGAATTTGGGTCTCTTTCATCTTCATACTTGTTCGGCATCAAGGTGAGTATTCCTGACTCTCTTAGCACTCTTGATTTACATATTCTTAGACTCATAATGATGAAGCTCTTAAAGGAACCATATGTTTGAAGGCAGGTGTATGATCACGTGCCTACAGATAAAACAGAAAACATTGGCGTTAATTCTGAAGAGTGTATTATGGTATGAATTCTTCTTGGTATATCCAGCACCCAGCACAATGCCTGACACATAGTAGGTACTTAATAAATGCTTGTTGATTGGTTGGTTGATAAATAAATTAATAATATCTTATTAACTTTTCCGCTTTTTAAAAAAGTTCCAACATTATATACATTACCAGGCCAGGTTTCTCTATTAGCATGTCATAGAGTACACATTTAAAATAATTCAAATGGAGGTAGTAGGTCCCCCTGCACTGTAGATCTTTGAGCTATGACTAGATGACAATTCATTAGAGTTGCTCTGAGAGGATTCTGGTTTAGATAGATATTGCACTAGATGAATGCTTTGGTTTTTTGATCTCTGAGATTCAGTACTTTATTTTGCTAAGTATGTATAGAATAACTGTGTGTGTTGGTACAAAGTAACATATAATATTATAGTTATTCAACCTCTTTCATTGGATTTCGGGCATAAGGAACTTGAAGGTTTTCCTTGTAATGACCCAAAGAGAATTTTAAAGTACTCTAAGAGTTTCATAAATTCCTGTGTTACAGACCACAGATAGGAAATTCCAAGTAGAAGAGAAAAATCTTGCATCTTAATGATCCTCAGCTCTTCTGTTACAAAACTGTCCATTAGATGGAAAGTCATATCTGTTTCTCCCTTTTGCTATGTACTCTGTGATATTTCTTTAAATTTTAAGCTGAAATTAGAAAAAAAACTCTATAGAAATTTTAAAATCAATCTTATGTTTTTTTATTATCACTTGTCTATAAAACACGATTATAATAGGTCTGAGTGTTTAAGAAGCCAGGACACCTATGTAACCCCATCAATTTTCCTGTGTTGTTTTAGAAACTTCAAACAGTATAGATGTTGTGACCAAAAAAAAAAGTTAAATTATATTCAAATGCAGGGCTTCTTCTCACTTTTCTGTACCTTTTTCTTTGAGAAGAGAGACCCCTGGGAAATAAAATTTTTACAGTGAAATATTCAGTTTTTAATTTCAGGGACCTGATGGTAGCCCAGAGAATTCTCAGGCTGGCTCTTCCACTAACTTCAATGTCACTGATTTGCAGCGCTGCAAATTCCATTTTGTTTTTTTTTCCTTTTCATAACCTGAAGAGAAGACATAGTTAATTTCACATCTCTGAGTGGCAATGATTGTATTTTAAGCCTGACCCATTTTGGAGTGCTAGTCATTCAACAACTTTTCCTGATTTTCTTGTTAGTATCGTTAATAGATTTAACATTAACTGATTGTCCACGTTATATGGAATATTTCCTTGTCCTCATGGCAGAAAGTCCAATTATAAGTCATTAGGACCAAAAAATCTCTCCACTTGTGAAGGAAGAATATTAGCAACCTTAAGAGATAAGTATAACTGTTGGGAGTGGAAATGTAGAAAAACTCCATGGTCACAGTCTGCTATTTTTTTTCAAGCAGAGGTTAGGGACAGGATTGGGGATAACATCCACCCCCACCCCCACCCCCACTCTCATATAATGCCTGAGCACTTTGTACTGTCTGAGGCACTGATCTCCTACCTGACTATCAAAGTGTTCAATTTCCATGTTAACTGAGCATGGGAATTTACTTTGGACTTGGTTCCCAAGGAGTTCACCTGAAAGGATAAATATGTGAAATGGTTCCAAAGATTTATTTTGAAGAGCTTTATCATTAGCAGAATTTTCTCATCTATAAAATGGGGACAACAATGCTGATTGTGCCTACCTCACAAAGTTGTTATGTTATGGAAGTTGTAAAATACTAAATAAATGTCATTTATTACTTATTACACTTTTGGTGGGTGTGCTGGGCACTATGGACGGATTGAGCCCTGTTCTACAGAAAACTTAGGAAATTCCTTCACTTTATCATTTAGCTTCTTAAACACATTTAAAAGAAAACTAGAGAGCAACTCAGTTCTTTTCCAAATGGTGGAAGTTGGGAAATCTTCCCATATTAAAGTATATTAGTTTCATTTGAACATTAGACTGAGTCTCCCAAAGTTTATAATGCTGGTTAACTTCCCAGAAATGCCTAGGGCCAGAGAAATGATGAATATAGCCTACTGGTCTTGCTAGGTCTCCCCGGTTAACCATTGTTGGCCCATTGAAAGAGATTAGCCAAGTATCTAGTCAGTTTCAGAACAGGGAAAGCTGGGAGTTTTCCAAGCTGAAGACCATTTACTTTCTGGCCTTTCCACTAGGCTCTTTTACACGAACTGTTGTTCTTCTCAGCTAGAAGGTTCCCAGAGGAGCCAAGATAGTTCTGGTCAAATGTGACTTAACCTATCAGCTCCATCAGTGTGGAGCCAGGGACCTTTCCCAAGAAGAGCAGAATGGCACAAGAACGGGTTGTCAGCTTCAGCAGCATAGCCAGGAAGAAGCGTCTCAAGAATGGTGGCTAGAAGCCCAAAACAGATTTGGGCCCTAAAATGAAAAAGAGTGGGAGAAGATAATTTTTTTGTCAGAACTTAAGGGAAACAAGGAGAAAGGCTAAAGCAGGCAGAAGCTAAGAAGGTGACTTCAAAGGAACATATTGTTCAGGTTTGGTGCTTTTAATACATTAGTATTCCCCCAGGGGAAACAGTCTCATTTCCCCAGGTAAACAAGGTCACACCTGGCCAGGATTTAGATGGGAGGCCTCCAGGAGAGATGCCAGATTGTCATAAAAGGTGCCATTACGGTTTCAGCAGGGGTGACTTTTTTGTAATTACTCTTACCTCTTGGCCAGAGAGTTGAGCAGAGGCTCAGTGCCACAACCTCCTTTCCAGTGAGCTCTAAAGTGAGTGACCAAAACCCTTGATCTCTGCAGGATTCTGTGTCTGCCTGTTGAAAGAGAGGGGCAGAAAGCCCTCTTTTAGGATTAATTCTCAATCAGGGTCATTCACATTCCAGGTACTACTATAAACCATTCACTCTGTTATTGCTCCTGCTGGGTTCCAACTGACATTTATTTCTTGCTGTGAACTGTTGCCTGATCCTTTTATGGAGGAAGTGGAAGTCATCTCTCTAAAACACGTACATAATCATACATATTCTTGGCTTAGAAGTGCCTTCCAGACCAGGAGATCATGATATCCAGCCCCCAGCTTCCAGGCTACTGGCTCCTAAACCATCCTAGACAGACAATTCAATTCTGCAAGCATTTGTGCCAGGCACTGTCCTAGGTCCTGGAGAAACAACACCTACCCTTAAAGACATACTCTTTACTGGAGGAAAACAACACATATACAGATAAATATGTAGACAACATATCCAGGATAAATCCAAAGTAATATTGAGGCCAGAGAAAAGAGAAAAGGTTTTCTGATCCTCAAAGATCTCTAAAAATATATAATTTCACAATGATCAGTTAACACCTGTATTCCCAAGTCAAGCTGACATCTCAACATGAAAAGATCCCTCTCATTCTCCATTTCCCAAGACTACAAGTCAGAGAGAGATGGGTTACTTTGACTGGGATGGTTAGGAAAAGCAGCCTGATTTCTGTTGAGTAAATAAGACTTCCTGGAAGAGGCTGACTTTGGCAGATGGGAGAGGGTGTAGTCTGCCAGATGTGCAAAGGGAGCAATCATCTATCTAACTACTTCCTCTTTTGACAGTACAACCCAGGGAGCTAATGTACCCATTTTGGCAGAATGATACCAAGACCCCCAAAGTAGATGACGGAAGCTCATCAGAGATTAAGTTGGCCATCCCAGTTTTCTTCTTTGGAGTTCCTTATCGGACTGTCTATGTAAGTGGAGAAGCAGCCCAGCTGTTACACCGCTCCTCTTCTTCTCCATCACTGTGACATTAAAAAAAAGTAGTTTAAACATACTCTTCTGATGTTCCAGGACCAAAGGATTTATTAGCAGCCAGATGACAAGTTCTGAGATTTCATGAGCTGATAGGTTTTATGATTAAGAAAGTCAAAGGTATATTTAATGGCTAATGTTCATAGTGGAGGAGTATACAGGGCAATAAATTGCTTTTGTGGGTGATTAAACCCAGAAGGGAAGCAGCAGCCCCAATGCCATGAGCATTATTTCTGCTACATGACAAGGGGGGGCGGGGGAAGAGATACACTGAACCACAACAGGAGTAATATCACTTTTCCTATTCTTCTCGGTATGGGAAAATTCTGGGCAGCTGCTGTTCTTGGACTTTCTTCCACTTTGGAGAGACACTGCTGTTGTGGGGTTTGTAACTGTAGAAAAGCAAATCACAGTCAGGGCTGCTGTGGTTATGCTTACAGAGAAGCCTAGGGAGCATACCCACCAAACCTAAATGTTTGTACAGGCAAATGGTGCCATTTATTGTCAAGGGACCACTGGACACCTGTTTTCCCAGGTTATTTGCTTGATATGAAAGCTTCTGAGTTAACGGGATTGCTGCTTGCAGACAAAATGCTGTGGTATATGGTGAGGTGAGTACAGGTCAAAGAAATCCTATTTCTTCACTATCTCAGACCAGTGGCTTTCACCTTCTTGGCTTTAGGATGAGGGCTATGCACATTGTACTTTTGCACCCCTCTTTCCTTACCACAACTCAGGGAGAGTGGAGTCGTCTGAAGGAGAGAAACAACTTAGAATCAAAATATGGTCTCAGATATGTACCTAGATGTGTGACTGTGAATAAGTCACTTAACCTCTGTCTGCCTCCATTTCCTCAACTGTACAATGAGGATGGTAATAGCACCTACCTCCCAATGTTGTTAGGAAAAATAATATTTGTAAAATGCTTAGCATATTTCCTGGCACTTGGTAGTCACTTAATAAATGTTTGTTTCCTTCTTTCTTAAAAATTATCAAGGATCCCAAAGAGTTTTTGTTTATATGAGTAATTTCTATTGATATTTACCATATTAGAAATTAAAACTAGTAAAATTTTAAAATACTTATTAATTCATTTAAAAATAACAATAGTACACCTAGTACATGTTAAATCAATTTTGATGAAAAATAACTATATTTTCCAAAACAAAAAATCAGAGAGAAGAGTGACAATGTTTTAAATATTTTTGCAAATCTCTGTAACGTCTGACTTAGTAGAAGACAGCTAGATTCTCATATCTACTTCTGTATTCGATCTGTTGCTATTTGTTCTTTTGATTAATGTCTATGAAGAAAATCCAGCCTCACAAAGATGCAAAAAAGAGAAGAGTATTTTAATAGGTAAATAACATCTTAGAATTATTGTGAAAATAATTTTGACCCCTCAAACCCCCTAAAAGGATCTCAGGTACCCCTAGGGGTCAAAGGACCACAGTTTGAGAACTGCTAGATTAGATGATCTCTAAAGTCTAAATCTAGGATCCTGTGATTTCTGGGCCTCATTTTCATTGTTTACCAAATAAAGACATTTAACTAGGTGACTTCTAAGGTCCAGTCCAGCTTCAAATTTATAAATCTTGATACTTCTAAGTACTCAGTGACTTTTTTGCCTAAAGAAGACAAGCACTCCTTCCCCACCAAATGAGTTTAGCACATACTTGGCCTTAGTAATTGCTGTTAGAATCTTTCCCATTGTTCATGCCAATATGATAATGGATAGAAATCATTCAGTCAATCAACGTGTACTTATTAAGTGCCTACTATGTGCTAAGCACTGTTAGGCACTGAGGACACAAGGACAAAGAATTAGCAACAATCCCTACCTGCAAGGGGCTCATATAATATTGATTGATTGATAACAAGGGAGTAGGAAAGAAGACAATTCTCTGTATTCTCCCATATGAGAAATCTCCACAAGTTCCTAGAACAGGAAATTTCTCTAAGTAAAATTATACAAGCCACATGGTAACCATAAGACTTTCCCCCTATAAACATTTGTATTAACAAATGCATGAGAAGATTGAGTTGTTTATGGGTACTATGTAAACTGAATCTACTTATTGTCTTGTGCATTTGCAGCAAGGTTTGGTAATGTAATAAATTGCCCATTTGCAAATCATGAAGAAATCACTGTAGATAGTCATTTACATACCCTGCATAAACTGTTCATGGCTCAGCATTTATGTTGTGACTGTAGAAAGGAGTCATGAGACCTCAAGAGCAATTCTAGAATCAGGTACCTGTAGGTTTCACCTTTGCCCTCAGTATGAGTACAGAATTCATTTTTTTTTACATCAATAGGAGATGCCTAAATGGCTCATTTACAATGGGCAGTGGCTTATTATGGAGATGAGGATTTGATGAGGGCAGGCATATCTGATTTATCTTTGACAGTCCTCTCTTGTGGCAAAATGAGAATCTAGTCTTACAGAGGGTTTCTCACCTTTTCCTCTCTCACTTTTTTCTTTCTCTTTGCTTCTCTGTTTTTGTCTCTGTTTGTCTCTCTCCTATGCACATACACAAGCTCAGTGATGTATGATGGGCTTAAAAAAAGATGGGAAAGGGAACATAAAAATGAAACTGATTATTAATGAGAAATGAAATTGACTATAAATTGAAAGTGAAATGGAGCCATTGGAATTGCCTGAAAGTAAACAGACTGCCTGACATGAATGGTGGGAACTGGTGTTTTAGGGTGCCACGTCTGTGATTTGAAAGCTACCTTGCATTCAATGACTAAGGAGATGTCTATCATAATGAGTGTCTGCAATTGTTGGTTTTAGTTCTCTCATAGGAAACTCTTCTTCTGTTTTGTAGGTCAATAATAACGGGGTTGTTTCCTTCAATGTGCTGGTGAGCCAGTTTACTCCAGAATCCTTTCCTCTGACAGATGGTCGGGCCTTCATTGCCCCATTTTGGGCAGATGTTCACAATGGAATCCGAGGAGAGATCTATTACAGAGAGACCATGGACCCTGTGATCCTGAGAAGAGCCACCAAAGATATAAGGAAATATTTCAAAGACATGGCCACCTTCTCTGCCATTTGGGTGTTCATTGTGACGTGGGAAGAGGTCACATTTTATGGCGGGAGCAGCACCACGCCAGTAATAATCCAAATTTTCCTTTTTGTTTTTTCATTCATGTTCTAATAGCCAATCCATGCTTATTTTAACAGCAGTCAATGAGAGTTTTATTGCTAGAGCATAGAAATTCAGTAAGGAGCTCAGATTACTTGTGTAATAATCATTGCCTCGCTACTCACCCACTTTCTGGAGCAGAGAGGGAAATACCATGCTTAGTCAGTCCAGGTTGCTGCAATATTTAAAAAGATGTGTCATCCCAGACCCAAAATATTATGGAAGTATAAATTAAGTCTTTCAATTGTCTTCTTCTCTTAGAAGATGGTATGCCCATTTTGCAGAAGAATAAACTGAGGCCCAGAGAACTATCCCAGGTCACATATTGATTAGTGACCAATCTAGGAACCTCAATCTCTTCCTTTTATAGCTAAGGTACAAGTGCCTCTTTCTAATTCTAAAACTAACCTTTTTAATTTCTATCTTTCACAAAACCTAATAGGAGGCCAAGAAGAGACTACTGGATATGGAACACAAATAACCTAATTCATTTTCTGTCATGCCTTTTTACTTTTTATTATGACCAAGACAGAAATTACTCCTATTAGATGTTAATTTGAGTGGGCAGGTAGAGTGTTTCAAGAATAAGGGCTGAACATCTGCTCCAAAATCCCAAATGAGCAGTTAGATAAAAGTTTAAATAAAATAGATTATCTCTAGCATTATCCTGGAGATAATCAACTTTATCTATAAAGAAATGATGAAGCGTAGTTCATCAGGAGGGCCTAATACTTATTTGGTTGTGTTGGAAATGAGCACGTTTGAAGGATTGGAAGAACCGTTAGCTTTGCAATAAATCATCTGGCGGGCAAAGGCACTTGAGAACCTGGCTCTTGCTTTCCTAGGAATATTTCCAATTCCATCCATGTTCCAATTCCCTTAACACTGCATTCTGTTGTTTGGGGGTGAGGAATGGTAAGCAGTGAGTTCGATACAGGGGTGACAAACTGCTGGGCTTATAAGTCACACCCACAATACAGTAAGCACACTGCATTTTAGTGCCTTCCATTCCGAGGATCAAGAAACACTTTATTGCTAAGACGTTCTGTAGAACAGAAAGACACAAGTTTAAGAGTGGGATGCATTGGCTGGAAACAACCTCTAAAGAAGCATACATTTCCCTCTGTCAGGTTATGGATTGCTAATGATTCTGTGGGTGATGTTTTATGCCTTTTATGTCTCATACCTTTCAGCGTTAGGCTCCAGGATGCCAGCAATCAATAAATTTTAGTGTCAGTGACAGAAAAAAAAAGAAAAAATGCCCATCAAATGCTGACCACTGTTCTTTAAAAAAAAAAAAATTCTTTCAGCAATAAAAAATGGCAATATAATTTAGATTCTTTCTGTTTTGTGCTTTGGAGTAAATTTCTAGACTAGGAAAGAACTCTTTCTGAAAGGATGAATGAGGTAATATTCTAAGCGCTTTAAGCTCCTTGGAGAAAAAGGCTAGCTAAACCTTCAATTCTGCCAAAAAAAAAAAAAAAAAGGTTCATCAGTACCAAAAACCTTTAAGCCAATCCCACTCAAATTAACTGATGATCCCTTTCCTTTTCCCCCGAGAGGGTTTTTCTCCTGTAGTACCTCTCTGTATCTTTAAGGAAACAGAACAAAGGCCTTTGCCCAAAACATAAAAGCTCAGAGTTCTGCAAAGAGAGAATCTCATGGAGAAACAATGGTGAAGAGAAGAGTTGTCTGAGTTTTCTGAACCTTCTTCTAGGCTTTGGACAAATGTATAAGCCTATTTTCCCCTGAGTGTGACTGAAACTCTTTTGAAAAATAAAGAGGCTTACACATAACACTCACTAGCTGTGTGACTCTGGGCAAGTCATTTAACCCCCATTGCCTCACCCCCACCCAAAAAAAAAAAAGAAAAGAAAAATAAAGAGACTCATATAAACCTAATCCCCTCCTCTTCCCCAGAGACTGAGGTGGTCTAGGGGGAGAGGAGGATTAGGCCTCCTCTGTGTTGGGAGGAGTAAGTTTGTGCATTATTGCTGAGTTGTTTCAGTTACGTCCAACTCACCGTGACCCCATTTGGGGTACTTTTGTCAAAGATACTATAGTGGTTTGCCATTTCCTTCTCCAACTCATTTTATAAATGAGGAAACTGAGACAAACAGGATTAAACAGCTTAGGGTCAAACAGCTAGCAAGTGTCTGAGGTTGGATTTGAACTCAGGTCTTCCTGACTCTAGGTGCAGTGCTCTGTGCACTGCACCACCTAGCTGCCCTAAGTTTGTACATTTGTGATTATCTTTTGAAGCCAACATTCCTTTTGTAAAAGGTCCAGGGTTACAAAAATAAAATTGAATTAAAAAAAAAAAGAGGGACCTAGAGGAGCTAAAACCACAGTTTTAAGGAACATATCCAAATTGATATGAACGTCCTCCCTCCCTTCTCCTACTCCTCTAGTCAGTGTGGACCTGGCTGCATCTGTCCTTCACCGAGTTTAGAAAAATTAAATTAAATTAAAAGGTTTGTCGATCACCCTCAGGAGCATTACTGGTAAATTAGCCCAAGCAGGTTGGTTTTGAGCTGTCTCCTGTGATCAGCAATGAATCATTCTTGCAATCTACTTTGGCAAAATATGTTTTAGACTTGGTTTTAAAGAAAGAAATTTGTTTCTTGGCAGGGAATCCCAGCACAGAAGGTGAGAGTGCAGTTTATCTAGTCTTTGTGTGGCCTTGATTGGGGGATCTGTCTCTGAAGTCTGATACTTACTTTGTGCCACTACTGGACCCTGGTGAAATCTGGAGCCCCTCCTCTGTTCCACTTTTCCCATTTGTTAAACAGGGGCAATGAAGGAAGGCAGATAGATATCTGTGTGACATTATCAGGAATGCCATCTGCTGTAGCAAGAACAGATGAATAAGTCATTTTGGTGAATAAGTCATCCTCAACAAAGTGAGTTCTTCTTCACTCCACTCACATGGCGATTCCTTCCCTCCAAGCCTTTCTGAGTGGCCAAAGGTGAAACCGATGGCTTCCATATCTTCTATCTCAGTTTGATTCCATGGGAGATGGTTTGGGGTCTCTCAGCTATTATAGCAGAATGCTGACCTGGAAGATATGAATGTTGCTGTGAAAATAACCCCTACCTTATGAACAAGGAAAGGGCTAGAAAGACATAGATGCTGCATCTCCTGTTTTTAGCTAATTATCCTGAAAATGTGGACAGAGTCGCAGATTGTGCAGGTCAACCAATTATGAAAATTGTTTGAAAGGAGCATTGACATTCCTGCAGCATCCCTTTCCTCAGGAGTTTAAAGCTGAGACAAAGGGTCTACAAAGATGGCCCATGAGATGAACTGAAATTGAGTCCTGTGCCCTGCCTTCTGGTCACTGGGGAAGAATTTCCAGGAAGTTTCTGCCCCTCCTCTGTCCCTCTTTCTTCTAATTCAAAGGGTTGTTCTGAGGACCAAAGGAGATAAAAATATGTAAAGTGCTTTGCAAATTTCAAAGGTGTCCCAAGTCTTAGCATTGTTTTAAGCTACTAATTTAAGTCAGTAAAGCTTAAAAGCTATTAGCTATTGTTGTTGATGTTGTTGTTATTATCTAGGAGACAGGCATGGTCAGGTTGGCTCCCCTTTCAGGGCTGGTCTGAGTAACATGAGCATAAAGAATTTTGCAAATCTAAAGGGATGCTTGATAATAGTAGCAATTTTCCCCTACAAAGTGCTTTTTAAAAACATCACTTTCTTATTTTTTTTAAACATCACTTTCAAAATTCCACTTTAAGGAGGGAAGAAATCTAAAGATTAGCTATGTATTCCTGAAAAGGAAAAGGCAAACCCTGCATCATTACCACTTCAGTCGTGATGAATTTATTTTTAAGAATAATTTTTTTTCGGTCAAATTGCAGCTATGGGGAAACAAGATTCTGTTCATTTAGGCTCCCCGTTGGGCAATTGTTTCTCATACTTTATTCTCATGGTGCCATCTATAGGTGGTCCAACATATCACAAGCTCAGTCCCTGCTTAGGCCTTTGCTGTCTTGTAGAAGTCAGAAATGTAAGAGGGGTACTGAGTAAGCCCGTGAGTAATCCTCAGGCAAATTCCCTTTTAGATAGATAGGGGCTAATCTTTCCTAGTCCCTTTTGGAGAAAGCCAATTCAGAGAAGAGGCAGAGAGAGCCTCTAAATAAAGAACTATTCAAACAACTGGGTAGTTAATGGGATAGAGGGCAGAATATAAAAGAGACATTTCATCAGATCATATATTTAGAGCTGGAAGGGACCTTAGAGGTCATATAGTCTAACCCCCTCATTTTACAGATCAAGAAACGGGCCTAGAAAACTGAAGTGACTTGTCCAGAGTCACACAGCTAGTTAAGTCAAAGAGAAGATTTGAAACTGGGTCTTCCTGATACCAGGTGAGCACAGTAACCATTTATACTCTATTGTTTCCTGAGTCATGGGTGTACATTCTCTTCTCTAGGTAAATACCTTCCAGGCTGTGCTGATCTCTGATGGTGCATCCACATTTACCCTCTTCAACTATCATGAAATTAACTGGACTACTGGAACGGCAAGTGGAGGTGACCCCCTGACAGGTCTTGGTGGAGTCATGGCCCAGGTAGGTTCCCTTCCTCCATTTGTACCCTCTTAAATCAACTTGCATTATTGAGGTTTACATTGCTCAGATCCTTTTCAGGAATCCTGCAGGCCTCCAGCGGCTAACTAAAGGAGCCCCTTCTTGCCGATCTCATCTGAGCATGGGAAAAGCAGGTGGTATTGTCCCCCTGCTTTGTGTTTCTTTGACTGTTCTTGGGATGGACTGGATAAAAGACCTTTCGGGTCCTGATCCTTCCTACCTGGAGTGCTAATGATCTGTAAAGGGACGTATCTTAATTATAAATACAGTTTGTCCTGAAATTTAGGTATCTGGTATGCTGGCTAAAGTCGTGCGGTCTGCATGCTCTCAAAGCGTCTCTTGCCCCTCTATTCTAGGCAGGATTTAATGGGGGAAACATCACCAATTTCTTCAGCCTCCCAGGGTCAAGAACTCCTGATATCGTGAACATCCAAGAGACCACAAATGTGAACGTCCCAGGTCGCTGGGCCTTTAAAGTTGATGGGAAAGAAATTGACCCTGCAAATGGTTGCACCTCCAGAGGTAAAAAGACCTTTCCCTTCTCTGGAAAAGTGAGTTTGTTTAGTCTAGAGTGACAGCCAGGCTTTTAGGCTGTGTGGGTGGACTTGTTCCTCACACTTTGCTCTTCTGACATATCTCAGCTGGGTAAAAGAGATCAAGGTAATTTTAGCATGTACACGTTATCATGAAGGGAGCTGAAATCCTGTACTTGCTGCTCTAGGTTGCTAAGTCTTAGCCTGGGCCTCATCCCTGTACCTTCCCCTGCCTGGTTCCCCAAGAAGACCAGCGTCCTGAGGGATTTCTTGAACAGACGGATGGAAAGGAGCCCTTCTCGTCCACATCATTTCTATATTTTTGACCGTTTATCCTTATTTTTATTTGTTCTTTCAACCTTTATTACTCCTCCTGCTCTGCCATCTGCTTTTTGTGGCTTAACGTCACCAGACAAGTTTGGAATATTGACAGGACTAGTGAAGGTAAATTAGGGGTCCCCAGCACAACAAGAAAGAGAAATCAGTATCACAGTCTTTGGGATTGCTTTCCTCCTAAATCCTCCCAGCAGCAGCTTGAACATCCAGGAATTTGGAAAAAATCAAAGCCAGCTTCAGACCTTGCTGAATGAGCCAGAGAACAAACCTCAGTAAGTTTCCTTTAGGCCAGTGTCAAAAGTTTGGAGCCTTCTCTGAACTATGAGAAAACTCTTTGGATGTGTGAAAAAGCCTAGGGCTTTCACAGGAGCACTCATGTTTATGAGGACCCTGCTCACGCTTGGGAAGCAGAAATTCTCTGTGTCCTGCTTACAGCTAAAAGAGGATTGCTGAAAATATTGGGAAAAACAAGAAACAAGTGGGTCCAGCATCTCCAAGTTGCCTAGTTTTGGGGAAGAATGAAGGCTTCAAATCCTTTTCCTGGACCAGGTCAATCTCTGGTCTCCCCATAGTGCATGTAGCCCTGGGTGGGGGGCGGTCCCAGTTTCCTCTCTCCAGGTCTCAGTCATGCCTTCTGTCTCATATACAGAAAAGCCAAACTCAGATGATCTAAGACAGAGGGGTCAAACATGCAGCCCATAGGCCACAACACTCCTGAGTGCTGCTTCAACCAAATTAAAATACAGTTCCTTTCTAATTTTAATGTGTTGATATATTAATAAAAAAAGAAATATATAAAAGTGTGGTTTGCTAAGTCAATGCATGGCCCACAGGAATTTTTACATAGTTTTACATGGGTTAGTGGACCCCGTTTCCATTTAATTTGACATAACCAGTCTAAAAGAGGCCCAGGCTATGGTGCCTTGCTTTCCCACCTGCCTCTCCCTAATATCTTACCCTGACTTTTATGTTTCCAAATGGATTTCTAATAGTTCAGAGAAGGCTCCAAACTTCTGATGTTGGCCTAAAGGAAACCTATTGAGGTTTGTTCTCCTGCATGTTCAGCAAGGTTTAAAGCTAGCTTTGATTCTCTCCAAATTCCTGGTTGATCGAGCTGCTGCTGGAAGGATTCCAGCTGAGACTATTTCCTGACCCTGAGAGAGAAGGGCTCTCTGGTGGCATCCTTTATGGACTCTGTAAACAGCAAGATGTTAAGAATAGCAAATGTGTATTTTGGAGGCAGGCCAGAATTAAGCTAGATTGAAAAGAATTTAGTCCCAAAGCTCACCAGGATTTCAAAGACTGTTGGCTCCATCCAGTGTAGATATTGCATCACTTACCATCCATGAATGGAAGGCACCGACCAACGCCAAGTCATTCTTCCTTTTGTTGACTGAGTGGTGTCAAACTCAAATAGAAACAGAGGCTGCCAAACTGCATATAAGCACCCCTGTAGGCCACATATTGACCTGGAAAACCACTTATTAACATTATCTATGTTCTATTGCATATTTTTATTTAGCTAGTTAAATACTTTCCAATGACATTTTAATCTGGTTCAGGGAGTACTCCTGAGTGTTGCATGTGTTTGAAACCTAGAGACTAGGCTGAGTACCTACTAAGTGGCAGAATCTTACCCAATCATCCTTCCCCACTTTCTCCAAGAGTCACAGAAGCAATGGACAGAAAGTACAAATGCCCCGTATTAGACCTCTGATCTCTAGGCATGAAGACTGAAATGCTATCATGACGGAAACTAGGAGCCTGCAAAGCAATAGTGTTGGACAGACCCCATCAGTGTGCAGAGCCCCACCTCTGACTTCATTCCCCGACTCCTGAATTATGGATTTGAGTTTTATATACAGGACAAATTCAATATCCCCATACAAATGGCTACACATTCTTTTATGTCACTGGGTGTATATCAGCCTAATGGGATTGGGATTGGGTCTGGGCAATAGCAGGGGGAATGTTGCTGCATAGAATCAGCTTATTATGTTATCATTTTACAAATCAAAATATCTGGAAAGCCTGCCTTCGGGTCCAGAACTCTGGACAAACAATGGCAGTTTTCTCTCCTTTATTGGAAACTTGAAAAATCATAGACTTGAAATCATCCCAAGTTGAACCCTTGATAATATATTCAGCATTGGACCAGGGCCAAAAATTGACAGGGAACAGAGGGGCCAGTTTTGAGGTCAATCTTTTATGAGCCGCTGGGGATTAGATTAAATCTCTTATCCCATTTTGAGGTCTCTGTACTTGAAAGGTAGGGAACATAATTGCTAATTTGCATTTTTTTTCCTATAGGACAGGTATAGAAAGGAGTTACGGAGGTAATTGTGCCTGCTGAGTGTATAT